CTCTCTCTCTCTCTCTGTGTCTCTGTGTGTGTGTGTGTGTGCGTGTGTGTGTGTGTCAGCCCCCCTTGTATACACACACACCCCTTACAAAAAAAGAAAAAAGAAAAAAAAGAAGAAAAAAGCGCATCTGCGCCACATCACAGACACCCCCCCAACCCCAGCACCCCCCACCCAGACCAAACCCCCTACCCCACCCCCCAAAACCAAAATTCGATTGCAGATTCGGGGTCCTCTCGCCGAGCGCAGAACGACCCCTGTTTCAAAAAATATATATATATATGGGCGTTTTTTTGGCCTGCCCGGTTTACCCGGGCGTCCCCCCCAGGCCCAACTGGCCGGGCAGGCCCGGCTGGGCGGCGTCCTCACTCAGATAAAAAAATCATTTCAACTGTGAAGGCGGGGTTAATGTAGTGGTGGTTTGAATGAGAAATTTGATTGGTCATTGTTGTGGATCGGGCTAACCTTGTTGTTGACCTCGTTGAGTGCACCGTGAACCATCGGTGAATGTTCAGATGTGGGTAAGCTGCTAACTAGATCAGGTGCGGTCTCAAGTACATTTCTTGGCCTTGTTAGATTCCTATTTCATTTCAACAGGTTCAAAAGGTTCTAAGCTGATCAATTTGGTGCTCTCTCTTGTGTGTGTGTTGGGGGGGGGGGGGGGGAGGAGGGGGAGGTGGCGGGGTCTAGATGGGGGTGGGCATCGAGAGTGGGGATGTGGTTGTGGGGTGGAGGTGAGAAAACATTGTACAGGTTGTGCAACTGAGAAAGGCATGCAGCCACCCTTATTTGTTTGATGGAGTAGAGCCTGAGCCATTTGAGGAGGGGGAGCATCTCGTTCAGGTTCTTGACTTCTAGCACCATCCTACTGCTGCTTGCCCTTTATGTCACAAAGACTGACCCTGTCTTACTCAGTCCCTCTCTCCATCTTTGGCTTTCTTTCTTCCTGCTCTGGCAGCATTTGGATCCTTGACAAGGAGTGCATCATCAATCAAGAAGTCTGGCCACATGTTGGGATAAATTTTGCCTGTTATGGCATATATCAGTGCTGTCACTTCAAGTTGGTGAATGGCTCCTTTCCGGTTTTGAACTCGATGGGTTACATTGTGACTGGGCGGTTGATCTTATCATTTCTTCCTCTTCCTCCTCCTCCTCCTCCTCCTCCTCCTCCTCCTCTTCTTCTTCTTCTTCTTCTTCTTCTTCTTCTTCTTCTTCTTCTTCTTCTTCTTCTTCTCCTTCTTCTTCTTCTTCCTTGCCCTTCTTCTTCCTCTTCTTCTTTCCTCTTCTTCTTCTTCTTCTTCTTTCTCTTCCTCTTCTTCTTCTTCTTCTTCTTCTTCTTCTTCTTCTTCTTCTTCTTCTTCTTCTTCCCACTTCTTCCTTCTTCTTCCTTCTTCTTCCTCCTTCTTCCTCGCCTTCTTCCCTCTTCTTCCTCTTCCTCTCCTTCCCCTTCCTCTTCTTCCCCTTCTTCTTCTTCTTCTTCTTCTTCTTCTTCTTCTTCTTCTTCTTCTTCTTCTTCTTCTTCTTCTTCTTCCTCCTCCTCAAGAAGTCCGACCACATAATGGGATAAATTTTGCCTGTTATGGCTTATATCAGTGCTGTCACTTCAAGTTGGTCGATGGCTCCTTTCCAGTTTTGAACTCGATGGGTTACATTGTGACTGGGCGGTTGATCTTATCATTTTCTCCTCTTCCTCCTCCTCCTCCTCCTCCTCCTCTTCTTCTTCTTCTTCTTCTTCTTCTTCTTCTTCTTCTTCTTCTTCTTCTTCTTCTTCTTCTTCTTCCTTGCCCTTACTTCTTCTTCCTCTTCTTCTTCTTCTTCTTCTTCTTCTTTCTCTTCCTCTTCTTCCTCCTCCTCTTCTTCCTCCTCTCTTCTTCTTCTTCTTCTTCTTCTTCTTCTTCTTCTTCTTCTTCTTCTT